CTGCTCTTCTTGCTCTCTGACTTGGTGCTTTCCTGACTGACTGCAGTGCTGGGGACACCCCATTTTGGGTGGCAGAGCCTGTTTCCATGAGGAAATGCCTTTGCAGGGCGCTTCCATGGGCCAGCCATGACCAAAATCTGGTGCCAGCCGGGCGGTGTCAGTGCCGGAAGGGGATTTGCATCTTCAATTCTTCTTCGTGCTCTTTTACAGCTCCAGAGCAGCTGCCAGAGCAGATCAGGTTGCCTCACACCTATTCCAGGCTCCCACCTCGGAGCTGCTGAAAGCAGATACTCCAGGAGGCTGAGCAAGAGCTCCCAGCTGGAGAGCTGTGCCTTCCTGGGGAAGGGGAGCAGTGACCCTGGCAGCTGGGGGTGCTGGGCTGGGGCTGGGCTCTCCTCTGGCTGACCTGCCTTGGCTCTTTTGCTTAATTTGCACAACTTGCTCGTGTGTCCCCACCACCCTGAGGGGTCCTTCTCATCTCCTGCCTGTTTCTCCCCCATTCTTTCACCCTCCTGTGTTGCTCCTGGATGATTTTGGGGCCAGGCCAGGACACAGTGCAGCCCTCTGACCCTTTGTTAGCAGCACATCCATGAATGAAGGTCCAGAGGAGTGTGGTGGCAGGTCTCCATTGCCCAGGCCAGTGCTGTGCCACCCTGGCTGTGCCCACCAGCCAGCCCTGACAGCACTCAGGAATCACTTTATGCTTTCCCTCTTTGATTTCTTCTTCCCCATGTGAAGCATGGTGGTTCCAGAAGGGAAACTACTTCCTTTGCCTGATGCTCCCACCCACTGCTGCCCATCCTTGAGCAGGGGGGAGAAGGGCAGTTACTGCCAATGCCTGCACTCTGGGACTGGGTGGGAAAAAAGGAGGAGGAGGAGGGAGCAGATAGGGTGGAGAGGAGGGAGAGACAAAGCAAAAGGGCCCACAAATGCACACTGGACACAGGGGAAATGATGAGAGGAGGAAATGGGCACAAACGTGTTTGGCAAATTAAAGCTGCTCCCTTTGTTTTGCTGCTTTGCAGATAGCTACAGAAACAGTGCAGAGCCCGGGGTCTGGGTAAGAAACTCCTCTTCCAGCAGGAAAGGTTGTTAAATATTTATTTGTAAACCTGAAGTCTTTGTCTCTAAAATGTAGTGAAGTTCAATAAAATTTGATTTAGCTGGAGCAGCTTAGAGGAGACAGGAGCATGGACTCAGGGAGCTGTGTCTCACTGGCTTTGTATGAAGCCATCATGGCAGAGATGGGGTGAACCCATGGCTGAAGTCACCCCCCCACTGCAGCCCAGTGAGGATGCCCAGCACTGTCCAGCTGTGCACAGCTGGGAGCAGCAGGTTGGCTCCTGCAGGGACAGGGTGGGGATGGTGCCCCCAGAGCACCGTGGGCCCCCCTCCCTGCTGGGGTATGGCTTGCTTTGTCCTAAATTGCCTGTTGTGGCTCGATGCTCTCAGAAGCATCTGGTTCAAGGGTGAACATCTCCAGCCCTGTAATTTATGGCTGCCAGGTGGGCTTAGAGCTGACTCGGGGTTTTTGCCTCCTGCTCGCTCCCTGTCAGCACAGCAGATCGCTCCCTGCTCGGCGGGGTGGGAGCAGGGGACAGCCCAGGGACAGCGGTGACAGTGGTGGGCATGGCCAGGCGGCTGCACCACCCCTTGGGGCATCCTCAGGAGCACACTCAGGGGCAGAACCTGGGCTCCCTTTTGGGTCATCACCCAAGTTTGGCTTTCTGGGGCTGTTCCTCCCACACCAGGGCAGCGTGTGCCTGTCACAGCGGAGCAAACCCCACGCACGTCAGCGCTTCAGTCTGGCCCCAGGCTGCCTTTCCAGGCACAGCCCAGAATGGCATCTTCCCTCCCAGCAGTGAGGCCAGGCACAGACACTGGGCAGGCCCTGCTGTATTTAGCACCAAGGCAGAGCTCTGGTGCCTCCATCTGCGCCTCTTGGGCTGAGGCTGGGACGTTCCTGTGGGAAGGGACTGTACTGAGAGCCCTCAGCCCTGGGCAGCAGGTGGTGAGGACAGGGGTCAGTGGCTGCCATGGCTCTGAGCATGAGTTTTGCTTTGGCTTGCACTGGGTTTGCTGTCACCTAAAGGCAGTGAGCCTGGCAGCTGCTGCTTTTTTTGTCCATTCTTTTTTTGTGGTTGAGGAAGGAGAACCACGCTCATGCCAAGGGCTGGGCTGTGCATCACAGCCATGGCCCCATCCTCTGCTCCTGCCCGGCAGCTCCTGTTGGGCCATGGCTGGCACCCTGGAGGGGAGCTTGGGCATGTTTCAGGGTCTTCCTCAGAGTAAATCTGGGAGGGCTTTGTGGAAAGCCCTTCCTGCAGGTAGCAGTTGTGCAGTGGCTGTAAAGCCATGCATGCATTGTTGGCCCACAGCTCACACAAAAATCACAGTTTGAGTCGTTTTTAGAAGGGCATCTCTTAATATCCACATCACCTTGAGGCACAACTATTTCTCTCCGAATCAGGCAGAGGTAAATGGGAGCCAGAAGTGATTTAAAGCTCATCTTAGCTCAGAATTTTCCAGCTTATTTATTGTCTTTCTCCCAAAGCTCTTCTGTGGCTCTGGTTATTAAGATTACGGATGTTTTTGTCAGGGATTGTATTTATCACGGATTTAAATTTAGCTGAGAACTAATAACATGTGAGGTGTGTCTAGACTTTAATTCTGGGCTGTGCTCGTCGGTAACACCACACAGATTCTGCTTCATTCATCTCTGGCCTCTTTGCTGATTTTTTACTCACTGATACCTCACAGCTCTGGCTCTGCCGAGGCTGCGCTGGGGATGACAGCACAGGACAAGGTGCTTTGGAGGTGCAATTCCCTTCCTGCTGCTGGAGAGGCAGGATTGAGCCTGGGGGAAGTTGGTCTGCAGGATTCAGCTCTGCCTCCTCCCCATGGCCAGCAGGGACCAGAACAGAGCAGCACATGCAGGCAGAGCGGAGCTTTTGGCCCGGCACACAAACAAGGCTGGTGCCTGGCACTCTTAATGAGCTGAGTGTTTTCAGTCCTGCTATAATTAAGCCCCTCAGACTGTATTTTGTTTTGCATGCCGTGTTTTGCTGTCTTTGATGGCTTTCTCAGCACGGCTTTGAGGAGCAGGAATTGGTTTCTGAGAAAAAAAGGCTGCAGGCAAGCCAGCGCTCAGGAATGAGCCTGTGGTGGGAGGGCAGTGCCCAAGAGGCTCCTGGCCATGGGCACCCCCTGGCAGCCCAGCCCCAGCCAGGGCTGCAGCAGGAGCCTAGGGAACAAATCCATGTGCAACCCGGGCCATGCCAACCAGGGGGCCAGTCTGGCTCCAGGGCACCGGCCCCAGTCCCAACCCCACCCCAGCAGCATGGCAGTGGGAGCAGCAACCCCCTTGTATCTGTACTGCTGCCCAGCATCAGGGAGGTGATGACATGGGAGATGATGGATTGTAAATACCCAGCAAATGGCTGTTTGCAGCCTGGCTGGGGCCCAGGCACTCCCACTGGAAATGTTTCCACTGGACTGGGACATGCTGGCCCAGGGCCAGCAGGAGGGAGCTCAGCATCACGGCCAGGGGAGCTTGGCAGGACCAGCTCCCATCCCTGCACCCCTTCACTGTGGGGTGATGTGTTCAGCATGATCCCCATTGAGCAGCCCCACTGCAGAGGAAGCAGGGAAAGGGGGGGGGTGGGGGGGTGGAAGGGGACAGTGAAATGGGAGGAAACCACAGAGGGTTCCTCTGGAGACACTCCCGGCCCTCACGGCCCATCACTGGCTGTGCCGAGGCTGGTGGTTTCCAAGATGGTGCTGGTGGACATTTTTATGGCCAGTCCATCATCTCCCATCCTTGTATCTTACAAAGAAATTTTGAATAATTTTTTGGGAACAAAAGTGATCCTTGGGTCATATATCTGTATGAAATGATGAATATGAGCAGATGCAATGGCAGGAATGTGCAGAACGTGTACCAGCTCCATAAATAGTGCTGGAGCAGGGAAAGTAATGGACAGGATATACAGTGATGGATACAAACAGAGCCAATGGAAGTAATGGATTGGGTGTGTTTGGTGATAGCCATAAATAGCATTAGTGGGAGTAGTGCAGAGAGTAACATAACAATAGATATAAACAAGGGCTGGAGTAGCTGGAGATCTAATATGCAATATTGATATGATTTGATTCCTCATAACAGCCTGAACAAGGAAATAAATGCAACGAAGGCAGCGTGACAAGGAGCATCCGCTTCTGCCGGGCCAGGACGGCTCTGGGCTGGGGCACAAGCCAGACCATGAGCCCCCAGGGAGGTCTCCCAGCCCTCCCCAGGGGCATCAGCAGGAGGCTGGGTGATTCCCAGCTGACACCAGGCAGCTCCCTCATTATCCAGAGCCCCCCTGGACCTGACTTGAGGCCACAGCTTGCTCTTGTAGGCAGTGTCTGCCCAGTTGTTGTTTCTGGAAAATGGTTTGGGTCTGCCCTTGCAGGCTGGCATGGTGGGAGGCAAGGAACTTGCCTCGGGGACACACTGAGAGCAGCTGGGGCATGGGGGAGCACAGAAGGAGGGAGCTGGCTCCCACTGAGCTCTCAGTGTTGCTTGCCCCAAGTGGGGCTCCCCCAGATGCTCCATCCTCTGCTCAGCTCCTCTGTTTGCCAAGCAGCCTTTATATTCAGGCTCCATCTACAGGGAACGGAATAATTTCAAGAGCTTAAAATAGGATGTAGATAGATGTGTTTCGTATTAAATTATTTTTTTAAGAAGCAGAGGAAGCTGTATGACACAGATTCCTCAAGGCCTTCCACTCAAGAGTCTGTGCACGTTCAACCATCAAGTGGAAAGTCAGGGAAGGGGGAGAAGAGAGGGTCTTGAAGCCAAAGGGCTGCATTTCAGCTGGAAAATGAGACCCTCTGCTGTGCATGGATGGTGCCTTTTGCCTTCCCATCACCTCTGGCAGGACACCAGAGCTTTTGCCTTGGCTGTGCCCGTTGTTTGCTCACGTGCCCCTTGCTCTTTCTCCCGCTGTTACCTGCAGGTGAGAGATAGGATGGTAGCTGGGGAGGCGAGTATGCGCAGCCCAATCCTGGCCTGCTGGCAGCCGATCCTCCTGCTGATGCTGGGATCCATCCTGTCCGGCTCCGCCACGGGCTGCCCACCGCGCTGCGAGTGCTCTGCCCAGGAGCGCGCCGTCCTGTGCCACCGCAAGCGATTCATGGTCGTGCCAGAGGGGATCCCCACCGAGACCAGGCTGCTGGACTTGGGCAAGAACCGCATCAAGACGCTCAACCAGGATGAATTTGCCAACTACCCTCACCTGGAGGAGCTGGAGCTAAACGAGAACATTATCAGTGCCATTGAACCTGGGGCTTTCAACAACCTCTTCAACCTCAGGACGCTGGGGCTCAGGAGTAACAGACTCAAGCTGATCCCTTTGGGGGTGTTTACTGGACTCAGCAACCTTACCAAGCTAGACATTAGTGAGAATAAAATTGTGATCCTCCTAGATTACATGTTCCAGGACTTGTACAACCTGAAGTCTTTGGAGGTGGGTGACAACGACCTCGTCTACATCTCCCACCGGGCCTTCAGTGGCCTCAACAGCCTGGAGCAGCTGACCCTGGAGAAATGCAACCTGACCTCCATCCCCACGGAGGCCCTGTCTCACCTTCACGGCTTGATCGTGCTGCGGCTGCGCCACCTGAACATCAACACCATCCGGGATTACTCATTCAAGAGGCTGTACCGGCTCAAGGTCCTCGAGATCTCACACTGGCCCTACCTGGATACCATGACATCCAACTGCCTCTATGGGTTGAACCTGACCTCCTTGTCCATCACCCACTGCAACCTGACGTCCATCCCGTACGTGTCGGTGAGGCACTTGGTTTACCTCCGGTTCCTGAACCTGTCCTACAACCCCATCGTCACCATCGAGGGCTCAATGCTCCATGACCTGCTCAGGCTCCAGGAGATCCAGCTGGTGGGAGGGCAGCTCACCACGGTCGAGCCCTTCGCCTTCCGTGGCCTCAATTACCTGCGCATCCTGAACGTGTCAGGGAACCTGCTGACCACCCTGGAGGAGTCAGCTTTCCACTCGGTGGGCAACCTGGAGACGCTCATCCTCGACAACAACCCCTTAGCCTGCGACTGCCGGCTGCTCTGGGTTTTCCGGCGGCGATGGAGGTTGAACTTCAACAAGCAGCAGCCCACCTGCTCCACCCCCGAGTTCGTCCAGGGCAAGGAGTTCAAGGACTTCCCCGACGTCCTCCTGCCCAACTACTTCACCTGCCGCCGAGCACGAATACGGGACCGCAAACCTCAGCAGATCTTTGTGGACGAAGGCCACACGGTGCACTTTGTCTGCCGGGCAGATGGGGACCCGCCGCCCACCATCATGTGGCTGTCTCCCCGGAAGCACCTCATCTCTACCAAAACCAACGGGCGGCTCACTGTCTTCCCTGACGGCACGCTGGAGGTGCGCTACGCCCAGATCCAGGACAATGGCACCTACCTATGCATCGCCAGCAACGCGGGTGGCAACGACACCATGCTGGCCCACCTGCACGTGCGCAGCTACTCCCCAGACTGGCCCCACCAGCCCAACAAGACCTTCGCGTTCATCTCCAACCAGCCCAACGAGAGCGATGCCAACAGCACGCGCGCCACCGTGCCTTTCCCCTTTGACATCAAGACTCTCATCATCGCCACCACCATGGGCTTCATCTCCTTCCTGGGCGTCGTGCTCTTCTGTCTGGTGCTCCTCTTCCTCTGGAGCCGCGGGAAAGGCAACACCAAGCACAACATTGAAATTGAGTACGTGCCACGGAAGTCCGACGCGGGCATCAGCTCTGCCGACGCGCCGCGCAAGTTTAATATGAAAATGATTTAACCAGGCGACAATTTGCAAATAATAATGGTGTTGTTTTGTTTTGTTTTTTTAAAAAAAATGAACAAATGAACAAATAAAAAATAATTAACAAACATTGCTACAAACATACCGACCTCTCTCCTTCCACCGTGCCCTCTGCCCCTGTCCAAACCCACTGCGCCCGCACTGTCACCACCTCCTCCTCCTCTTCTTTATACCAGGAAAACATTCAGCCGATGTCTTCAGGACTCCTGTGTTTGTAAGGACTTTGTCTGATGGACTCTGGTGTCAGATATAACTCTGAGAGGGGAAAAACAACGGGGGAGGGTGGGAAAAAGAAAGAAAAAAGAAATAAAATCAATAAAAAAGTTACGAACTTTCTTCTGTAACTTTGATTTCAATAATTATGGATTTTTATGAAAACTTGAAATAATAAAAAAACCCTATTTCCTATAGATAGTTGGAATGAAAAATTTTGACTTCTTGATCTGTCCAGTTCTGTACCTGGCAAGTGCTTGCTTTCTTGCCTCAGAGGCACTCCCCAGATGCCTTGCCAAGAGCAGCCCCAGGCCAGGGCGAGTCTCCTGCTGACATCAAAGGCACCTCCCACAGTGCAGTGCCCAGTGTGGCACCAAGGCAGGACTATTTTTCCTGGTTTTTACAGTCAGTTCCCCTGGCCATCCCCAAAGCCTGTGGAGCAGGGCTGTGACACTGGTGTCCATAAGCAGCATGGAGCAGGGCTGTGCTTTCCTGCCCTCTGTGTGGGAGGAGGATGCAGAGCCCCATTGCAGGGCTGGCCCCGCCTGTGGCCTCCAGGTGAGGAGCCAGGGGGGCCAGGCTTTGCCTGGGCAGGGCTGAGGATCCTCCTGCTTCTTACATGGGGAGAGGATCTTCTGCCAGCCTTTGCAGCAGTACCAGGGTGTGTCCTCTCCTATAGGGGACAAGCTGGCTCCTGTGCCCTGCACAGCTGTGCCCATGGGCAGGGATGGCACACATCCATTGGCACCACCCACTTGGTTGCCTCCAGCAACCTGTGCCTGGAGCAGCTCCAGCACTGCTCCCCACCTGCCTGTAGCTCAGGACCTGATCACTGGCAGTCAGTCTCAAGCACCCTCAAGCACATCCAAGGGAATTCATCTTCCAGGCTCACAGGAGACCTTGTCTGAAAATGGAATTCCACAGGTTATAGACACAGGCATAGGCTGAGGCAGAGGACGGGCACAGGCTGTGACACACTGCCCCTGCCAGGCAGCAGTGAGCCCATCACCATGGGCTCTGTCACAGCAACATCCTGCCTTTGCTCTGCTCTGGGACTTGCATCAGGTCTGGAAGGGCTGTGTTGCCTCACAGAACCATGGCATGGGTTGGGTTGAAAGAGACCTTAAGGACCATCTCATCTCCACAAGAACAAAACACAAAACATCCCTGCAAATGGTGTCAATATGGGCACTGAAGGTTTTATCATCCTTACTGAATCAGGAGGTGCTTCCCAACCTTCCCAGCTGCCACCAAGAGGGTGCCACCACACTGACCCCCCTGGCCCACCCAGCCTCAGTGACACCTCTTAGGCAGAGCCCAGATTTTCATTCTTGATTTGTAAGGCACCTAAGGAGTCTCCAGGGATCAAAGGCACTACAAGATGGTAAAATGTAAGTGCCAGGAACCTGGGGCCCCAAGAGGGGAAAGAATGGATTTGCTTTTCTTTCAGACTGTGCCATCCTTGAGGAACCTACCTGAAGCATCTGTGCTGCGGGGAGGGGGAGTTTTTGCTGATAGCAGCTTTCTGTTCATCTTCAAACAAAACATTTTATGTTTCTTTCTCCACAGCAAGTTTCAGAAGCTTTGATTTGTTCTTTCCTCATCTCTAACACATCCTTCCTTTGTAACTTTGAAACCAATACATTTTTTAAAAGCCTTTGGCTTTGTTTTGCTTTTTAAAAGAGCCAAAGCAAAACGCTCTTCATGAGCTTCCCCTCCCAATATTTCCAGCAAGCTAAACATAAAACTGCCAACAGCAACACACAAACCTAGGGCTGAAGCTGAAGGCAGGCTCCAGAGACTGCAGATCCTGCTCCAGGGGCTCAGAGCAGCACTCCCCTGGGACAGGCAGGGATGCACAAGGACTTCAGCCCTTGGAGGATGATGCCAAGCCAAGTGGAGCCAAGCGAAAAAGAACTTTAGGCACAGAAAGCTCAGTCTGAGCCTGGTTGTCAGGACTGACACAAACTCAACCAGTGGCTCAGCAGAGAGGTGGAAGGGGGCCTCCATGACCCTGGACAGCTACAGGCACTGGCCATCCAAAAGAGCTCTTAACTGGCTCCAGTGATCACTTTTAATGCTGTAATGAAAAGAGTTAATTCAACACACATAGATTTTAAAAAAATACTAATAACCAAGTCCAATGAGGAATTTGCAATACATTACAGAGCCCCAGCAATCAAATGGGGGAACCAAGTCTTTCACTGTCAAAAAAGGTTTAATAAAAAAAAAAAAAAAAGAAAAGAAAAGAAGAGAGCAAATGATTTCTTTTCCATAGAACATCTCAGGAATTTTCCCAGCCCAGCCCTGTCACAGAACCCCACACCTGTCCCCAGCCCCATCACCTCTGCTGTACCCTCCTGGGGGAGGCCACGCTGCTGCCTTAAATCCCAAGCTGCAGCTCAAACCCCTCATTAGTGAGTATGCCTGATGCTCTGTGGCACTGCCACACACTTTGTTACCCACACTGATTTTTTAATCTTCGATGCTTTGTGAACTAGATAATTTTTTTTCCAGTCACCATGTGATTGAAGCAGATGGATGGAGCAGAAGAAAAGCATCTCAGAGTGGCCAGCAACTAAGCTCAGCCATTTTCATAGCTGGTAAAAACGAGGAAAAAAAACAAACCCAAAGAATAGACTCTCTTTCTCTCCTTTGCTGAAATTTACAGTCTGTTTCTATTGCAGTTTAATCAGGGGTGAGAAAGCAGAGGCTGGATTCCAGCACTGCTCTTCAGGGAACCGTGGCCCATGTGTCAGAGCCAGACAGCAGTTTCCACTTGCTTCTTCTGAATCACAATAAATACAATGCACTTTATAAAACAGTTTAAAAGAGGTAACAAAAAAACCCCAAGGAGTTGTGCTTAGGGCACGGAGGGCAAACGTGCCTTACCTCCTCTGCTTCCTAGACTGGGAGTGCCATGGGGATCTTGGTGACAGGCAGGGTGTGTGGGGACACAGCAGGGAGGAGATGAGTGCTTACACAGCCCTTCCACCCTGTGAGCATCACCCACCAGGTGCCTGGCAGGTGGCAGCTCTCCCCTCTGCCTCCAAGGCAGGAGCAGGGCTATGAGCACCCTGCAGGCCATTTACACCCACCCACTCCCTGACCCTCCCCAGCAATCCCTGTGCCCGCTCTGCTCCTCTCCATGGATCACCAGAGCATCTACAGGGGTAAGGGTGCTCAGAGAAGAGGGGTCAGGCTGGCCCTCCACCTTCCTGGGCCCACAGCCCCCCAGCTCTCCCCACAGCCCCCCAGCTCTCCCCACAGCCCCCTAGCCCTGCCCACAGCCCCTGTGCTCTCTCCCCACAGCCCCCTAGCCCTGCCCACAGCCCCCTGGCTCTCTCCCCACAGCCCCCCAGCTCTGCCCACAGCCCCTCTGCCCTGCCCACAGCCCCCCAGCTCTGCCCACAGCCCCTCTGCTCTGCCCACAGCCCCTGTGCTCTCTCCCCACAGCCCCTGTGTTCTCTCCCCACAGCCCCTATGCTCTCTCCCCACAGCCTCTCTGTCCTCCCCACAGCCCCTCTGCCCTGCCCACAGCCCCCCAGCCCTGCCCACAGCCCCCCAGCCCTGCCCACAGCCCCCCAGCTCTGCCCACAGCCCCTGTGTTCTCTCCCCACAGCCCCCTGGCTCTCTGCCTGGGCTTGCTGCCTTCCCCTTCTTCTATCAGGCCTTATCACACTTAATTTTACTCCTTCTCTCACTAACTGCCCTCTCTCTCTTATCTCAGCTTCAGAGCCAATATTTTACTCTCTCCCTTTTTCTTCCTTATCGCTCTTTTTTTTTTTTTTTAAATACTTTCTGCCTTCTGTGCTGCTCCCTCGCTCTCCTGCCATTTCTCTCTGTCAAGAGCTCTCCTGTCTGCACCACGGCTGTGCTTCCTGCAGTTCCCTCTGCTCACAGGTTTCTCCCCCACATTTCTGCCTCGCTCCTCCCCTGGCAGGGTCTCACCCTGCTTCCACCACAGCGAGCAGCACACAGAGAGGTGCAGGGAAAAAAGATCTTTGGGCTTTGATTCCCTTTTCTCTTTTTTTCCCTCATCTCCTGCCTTGTCCCTCTTTTTCCACCTCCACATGGGCTCTCCAGCCCTGCCCAGCCAGTTTGCCATGAGACAGGGCAGGGACATTGCAGTGCAATCCCTGCTTCCAGGCTTTTGCAGGACACAGCAGAGGAGAAGGGATTTGAGGTGCTCAAAGCCCCAGAGGAGATGTTTGGGGGAGCAGCCCTGTTTCCCCTCCCCCTGGCCCTGCCAAGGTACACATAACTCCTCTAAGAAAAAGCCTATTGCTTTCTCCTCTTTTTCCTGGATCTGTATCTGCATGCTTATGATAGATTTACTGTGATTCTATCAGTTTATGATTAAAACCCATAAATTTTACTAGGCCTTTTTCTTATTTTCCATAATCCTCAGGATTCAAGGCAATCAAATTTTAACTGGAAAGCATGGGCTGTGCTGTTAGTCCCAGTGTAATGGGGAACGGTTCATTTCTCAATCCACCCCCGTTATTGGTGGTACTGAAGAAATACTGTCCTGTGAAAGAGATTTGTTCCTCAGGTCCCTTTAAAACAATGTCCTTACCTGAGAAAAGGATTAGAGGAACAACACAAACTGTGACTAAAACACAGTTTGCCCTGCCACTGTGGTTTGTTCCCATCCTGAGGTTTCCAAGCAGAGTTTCCCTGCAGATTTGGGTGGGTGCTGAGGGTCTCAGGGTGAGCAGCCTGCAGTGAGCAGGGTGCCAGCTGTGGGTCCCTGTCAGCTGCTCCATGTCAGCTTGTACCACCAGGAAAGCTGGTGGGTAGCTCCAGCCCCTCTGCAGATTTCACATGGGCCTGTTACGATCCAGGTAATAAGACATTTCATTCAAATGAGCAAATTTATTCCAGTGGCACTTTAATAACAAAATCAATTAAACTACACTTCCCAGCAGGGCTTTATCATATGCTATAGCTACAGCATATTGCCTGGATATACTAAATTCTCTCCCTGAAATAAAGTGCAAAGTTTAGAAGACAGATGACACCATTTGCAGCACTAGTAGAATAATACCCTAATAAATCTGTGGCCACCTGGGCACTTCAGAGTTGTCACACACTGCACTCAGTGGCCACTGGGAACTTCCCAATGGCAGTGAGAGCTGGAATGAGACCTTTGTGCTCCTGGGGCTCAGAGTGCAGATGCTCTGGAGCACAGCCC